CTCCGCCTTCTGCCCCCCCCCGCCACAGGATATCGTGGAACACCGGTACGCGCACATGCGCCAAAGTCTTGGGTCGAACAGCAACCCGACAGCTGCGCAAGCGAAGGAAAGGGCAGCACGAGGGGACCTGTACCGCAGTTTGCACGGGGTTTCCCGCGCGAACCACAATAAAAATGAGCGGAAAGGGGAGGAATTCATCGCGTCCGGGATCCGGGGACGGATCATGCTCCCAGTGACCGACGCCGAGCGGTCTGCTACGATGCGGGCGCCCTCGAGGAACTCTGTCTCAGCTGTGATGTTCCCGCGGTACATCAGCATCCACAAACCCATGCGGACCCTGTGGTAGGGGGTAGTGCATCCCAGGAGTCGACAGCAGCCCCTGCGGGCCACACCCCCGTAGTCTTCAACCCATATCCATAACCCTCGAGAGGTTTCGAAGGGAATAAGGTAGCGTTGGCTGTTTTTGGTCAAGTAGACGCAGGAGAGAGATGAAGAGAGAGAGAGCTAGAAGATTGCAGGTATTTCGATTTTCCCTCCGGGAATCAGCAATAGGAGTAATCCCAGCGTACCATGTCATATAGCTTTGTTGAAGCACCAAGCTTGCCCACGCACATTCAACAGAAAGGACTGTAGGGAGGAGCGAGTCTGAAGCCCCGCTTGTCGAGCGGAGCCGGGTCCTGCTTTTAATCTTATTTTATCGGGGTGGGAGACTCGCCCCAAAAGTGTTGGAAGCACGTGTGAGTTTGACTTCCCTGTCACGCAAAACCCGCAGGCGTATTGCTCCCGTAGTCGAGTTTTCTATCTTTCTGGTTTCGTGATGATAGAAGTTTTCTCTGTTGTCTTTTGTTCATTGGAAGTTCGTCATTTCTCCCTCCGCCTTAATCACCGGGTGTTTGATGCTCACGGACGAAGCCTCTCTGTTCCTTGTCCCCCCTATCTACTCTCTCTTTTTGTCAATAGTCTAGTCCTGTCGATTGTTTCGGGTGTACACGTATCGGACCGACTTAGGATTCTTCACCAACAGCCTTGCGGATGATTTTTCCCGGGCGGTAGGAAGGTAGCTTATTCAGGTCAAATTGGTTTACCGGTGTTGAAGACATTCAGGATGGTTACTGTATGCTCTCCTTGTCAATTTTCACCAAGAAATAACTGGATGCAGTTCAACCCCACTTTGCCACTGCAACGCTCTCGGCTGAATACGGCAACGAAGAGAATCCCCGCTGACTGACATGGTTCCGGCTAGGGGGAACGACCAGTGTTTACATTCATAGTTTACACAAGACTTGTACTTCGAGAAAGTCTATTACGCGGCATTGGTGCGCAACACGCCGGCGCTCCTAGTGGCTAGAAGAATAGTCCACGCCAACTTCGACATGCGCACAAATAAGATGGTAGTCCTGATCCATGAACAGTACAACATGACGAACCGAAAGCCGACGCCACGGACAGACCAACTTTCACCTTTTGCCTCGGAAATTGTTCAAGAGCCACCCCCGCTGGACACTCCAGCCTCCTCCAAAACCGACAGCGAGAAATCCATTGTAACCGGTCGGAAAAGGTAACCGTCGTCGTCCCTTCCGTCCAGCGCAGGCACTTCTGACGTCGTAAAATCACTACCGACAGAGACCATCTCCCCACTACCTGTCGGGGCGTTGCTATCTGTCGGGGCGTTGCCCTCACCCGCGTTCTCACCACCATGCCCCCCGCATCCTCCCTCGGCGTGACCACTCCCCGTCGCATTGGGGCCTGCCCCTTCAACAGATTCCTGCCCGAACCCACCCACATACGCCGCCAGGTAATCGAGGAGATCATCTTTTCTTGAGTTCATTGCGCCCTTCGTAATCCCGGCGTCCTTTACGAGCACGAGAAGTTGTCTCACAGCAGTGCACCTGTCGCTTTTCTCCGCCCGGGACATCCCCTTCAACTGATTTAAGGGTGAGCGGGGCCTGCCTCCGCGCACGTCCCCCTTTTCGGCGCTTTGCACCGCCCCCCCCGCCCCCTCCTGCGGCCTTTCCCCCCTGTGTAACCCCCTTTGCTTCGCCACTACCGGCCCCCGCCCCTCCATTTGGCCCGACACGCGCGTTCAGCTGTTGCCGCAAAGCAGGCGCGGCCTTCGAGAAGTTAAGGGAAGTATTCTCCCTTACGCTCTTTGCGAAGTCACCCATTCGCACGTTGAGGAATTTCCCGACAACGAAAAGAAACATCTCTTGAGATACACTAGCATCGATGGCAGGAGGACCAGGGGGGCAGCAGTTTCCCCAAATTTCCTTGACAACCTCCGCCTCGCTTACTACTTTGGCAATCTCGGCTGGCAAGTCTCCGAGGCAAGCAGCAAGGAAGATGGGGCTTTTCAAAAATGGAATATGCCCCTCTCCACGGCATACACGAACTCTACCCACTCCATCGTAGGGTAAAGAAGTCCCGGACCGTTCTTTATATCGTTCTTCGAATCGACTTTTGCTACGACATCTCTTAGCATAAAATCAGTACTTATGGCCTCCCCACTGGACCGGCGAGTTTTGTGTTGGACGACACGCACCCAATCCTGGGAAAGGTTGTGACTTCTTTGATGCGTCCAAGCCTTGCTGGCCGCCCACCCGGCAATGTAGTACAGGACTTGCCCGCGCGGTTTTGTGATCTGCTACCTTTCACTCGGGTAAGAGAGCTCCACGGCCACGGAATCCTTGCGCTCTTTCACGTACACCTTGTACAACTCCTGCATTAAGGGGAGGGGATGGGGAACGGTTCGATCAGAGGAGCGCGGGCATGGGGACAGTACCTCAGCTACTTGGCCGTGGAATACACATTAACAAGATGAAATCGGATGGTTGACCCGAGCACCAGGAATTGGTGGTAGCTCCAACACACCTATTCCTACCAGAAATAAACACACGGCGCGCTCTCTCAAACCTACANTGCTACGACATCTCTTAGCATAAAATCAGTACTTATGGCCTCCCCACTGGACCGGCGAGTTTTGTGTTGGACGACACGCACCCAATCCTGGGAAAGGTTGTGACTTCTTTGATGCGTCCAAGCCTTGCTGGCCGCCCACCCGGCAATGTAGTACAGGACTTGCCCGCGCGGTTTTGTGATCTGCTACCTTTTACTCGGGTAAGAGAGCTCCACGGCCACGGAATCCTTGCGCTCTTTCACGTACACCTTGTACAACTCCTGCATTAAGGGGAGGGGATGGGGAACGGTTCGATCAGAGGAGCGCGGGCATGGGGACAGTACCTCAGCTACTTGGCCGTGGAATACACATTAACAAGATGAAATCGGATGGTTGACCCGAGCACCAGGAATTGGTGGTAGCTCCAACACACCTATTCCTACCAGAAATAAACACACGGCGCGCTCTCTCAAACCTACAATCACCGCAGTAACGTGCAGATGCAGGAGGATGAAAGTTTTGACTTGTTCACACACGGATTCGGAGATGACACGCAAACCCTTCCACAAATGCCCCACTCGCTAACTGACTACCGTATCATCCCACCTCCTCCACGTGATTGATGATGCAGGATAGGTACTGCAACGCCTTCTCTTCCTGGGAGTCTCGCAACCCTGCCTCCAACACTTCCGGCTGACTTATGCACGCCCGGAGTCTACCCTCCCAGCCAGCAAAGCGGGTCAAGGTGAACGCAGTCGCCGCCTTAGTATCAGCCTTGCGGTGTTCTAAGGCGGCGACTCCGTCAACGCGGCGGTTCCAAGCGTCGGAAATCAAGCGCGTGGTCGGGGGAAGATCTTTGACCTTCTTCCAAAGCGGGCCGAGCCAGCGTCTACGCCCCTTGAAGAAGAGGGGGTTCACCCTCTCCCACATCTTTTTCTTCCCGCCGTCTAGGTCTCCGCGAAGACCGCTCGCGATTTGGCTGCACGATAACCCTAAGATTGTACGGCGGGGTTGTCATCCTGCTGCATGGTGATCCAGACGGTCGTGAACAAACACAAAATGCGTGGGTGAACAGCTTGCAACCAATAGGCCCTCGTTGCGATGTTCATCAGTCGTTCAAATGAACTACGAAAGCTGACACGACTATGCGAGTTCACGCCAACTGGATACGTTGGCTGATACTTCGTGCTTAGCCTGAATTGCGTGAGCAGACTACGATCTACATGGCGATCTCACCCGAACATCACTCTGTTTTTTTTGGGAGCATCCGGAGAGTTCAACTTTGCGGAAATGACGTCGGAGTATAAACAGGGCGATACATCAAGCGGTCATCACCGACGGGGTAACACCCCGCAGAACAAAGTATGAAAGGATAACACAGGAAATGCACTCCATTAGTCACTGCTGAGACTCGTTCGACTCTTTGGTATAGTCTAACCCAGGCTTCAGCTTACTTATGCGCCGTGGATGCATCTCGCGATGTGTTCCTGCATCATCGCTGTCCTCTTTCTCCTCGCCACCCGTCTGTCATCAGTGTGCGAGAATGATGCCCAAGGCGTTACGAACGGCGCGATCTATATGACGATTACTGCTGTCAACAGGGTTTTCGCGTGATTGAGAGCGGAGTATACGATTGAGAGCGGGAGCCAAAAAAAATGAANATTCCAAGAAGCGGTGCAAATTGAAGGTCTCATCAGCAGCGTCACGAGCATATGCGTATCATCGCGATCGGATGCTGCAGCTAGGAGCTAGACAAGTTGCTAGATTTCCCCAGATTGGCTATTCTTGCCATTTCTTGGGAAGTAGGGGGCGGGTTCTTCCAAGAAGCGGCGCAAATTGAAGGTCTCATCAGCAGCGTCACGAGCAGATGCGTGTCATCGCGATCGGATGCTTCAGCTAGGAGCTAGTCTAGACAAGTTGCTAGATTTCCCCAGATTGGCTATTCCTGCCTCAGTTTCAGGGCGATTCGATCGCGGGCGGTGAGCTCTGCTGTAGATTCTGCTCCCCGCTGTAGCTCCACAACGAGAGACGCCCACAGGATGACCAGTATCGGCTTGTAGCTACGGGCTAGGCCTTCAATTCAAGTCACGCAGCAAGCCACCTCTCAGCGGTAGTCCAGCTACAGCGCATCGCGCAATCTCGCTCTCAATCAGAAACTTCGCTCTCAATCACACGAAAACCTTGTTTGTCGCGGAAACGACTCAATATATCGATGACATCAACCATGAAAGTCATGGGCATTGAGACAAGTGGAGGAACTAGGCGCGATGTCACCGCACCCGTTGGGCACTTCAAGAAAACGAAGACGGAGAGAAAAATATTGCAAGAAAACGAAGACAGTGTCATGGACTACAACACGACTGACAATGGACGCCATCAACATTCACGCGGTAAATTCTCACCGTAAACAGCCTGGTAATAACCCTGACAGGTGATGGGGTGTCCTCGCCGAAAACGGCGCTCCGCATCCATTCCATATCGGCACCTATGGGAGGGGAAAGGGTGAGTGGAAGAGATAAAGAGGAACAAAAACAAAAAACTGTTTCGTGGGTCTGCGCTTCATACTTTTCTTTATTTTCTCCTCCTGTATATTTTTTCCTCCCATTCTACGGGACTCTGTCGTCTGCCCGTCTGGCTCCTATCCTCCACTTCTACCAGCCAGACGACCCAACCGGGGTCACACAGGAGGGAGGGTTGGACCCCCTCCTGCCGTTCCTACCAGAGATATTTTTATCGTGAGAATGGTACAGCAATCCCTTCCCTCGCGACTTATGAAGTCGAACAACTGTATGTAGTAACAACGAGCTTTTTTAAAGGAGTATAAGCCGTGGGCGGTAGCTTGCTCCTAGAGATATATGAAGGTAGGTTCTGT